ACCCGGAGAGAACCCACGCAAGCACGGGCATAACATGCAAACCCCACACAGAAAGGTCCCAGGTGGGGCCCTTCTCGCTGTGAGGCAATGGCGCTAACCACTGTGCCACCGTGCTGCCCCAACACACACACACACACACACACACACACACACACACACACATCCTTTCACTCTCTGACTCTCCCTCTCTTTTTCTCTCTCTGTCGACATGGTGCATTTGGTGTGTATACCGCTCTCACCAGTAGGGAGAGAGCATTATTATTATTCAGTGGCAATAAAAAGCTAATTTGGAGTTGGGAGGCTCAGCGGTCATTTGAAGGGTCACAGTACAAGCCAAGTAGTCGACTCTATTGAGATGGATGGTTCGGCGAAAGCTGAGCCTGTTTCAATTGCATGGAAATGTGCCTGTAAAAACCTTGGAGTTGCAACAAATCAGAACCTCTGTCCTCTGTGGAATATTGATGCAAGAATGAATGTTAGACTGTGAGGTTTCAAATGACAGCACTTGAAGTGTATGTTTTTTCTCTATTTATTAGGACAACATTTTGAAGAAAGTAGATAATCCAAAAAAACAAAAACTAGATGAATACTCCAGTGAACATGTCTCTTCTGGTCACTACTTTTGTTGTGTGTGTTGTTTGTTAAGTCTGGTGGCTACTAGGTCTAAAGATTAGAGTTTGGTGATGAGTTTTTGTCGGGTCAGAAGTCACATTATACTATTTGTTTCAGCTCATACTAGTCCAGAATGAAAGGCATCTTTCAGAGACATTAACTTTGCTGTAATTATTACAGTAAACATTTAGTCATTTTTATTTTTGTTAGAATGACATCACCATCTGCAGCTGTCAGCCAATGACTTTTGAATACAAAACACTTCCATACTCACATTTACCTTTTCACAGCATCTTTGTGGACAGTTTTGGTTCCTTTTTATCAATTGAAAGCATTGCTACCTGACAACAGAGTTAAATTTAAGGTAAAAGATTTTCTTGAATAACAAAAAGTTTTTAAAACCTTCTCTCAGTGGCTCTTTCGCATCAGTTTCATAACAAAATCATTATTAATGTTTCAGTTACCTACAAGTTGACTTTCCTTGTGTTGTAATGCACTCAAACGAGTGGATACCTTAAAAGCAGACATCAAGTTTAAAAATTTATGGTACATGTTATGACTGGTGACTTGTAGTGTTATATGCAATTCACCAAAACATGAAGCTACTGTATGCTACTGTAGTAATACATGATGTGTGTTCATGCGCAGTGGGAAGAGGTGAGCATTATGGATGAGAAGAATATCCCCATCAGAACATATCAGGTGTGTAACGTCCTAGCACCCAATCAAAACAACTGGCTGAGGACAGACTGGATCCCTCGATCTGGGGCTCAGCGGGTCTACGTTGAAGTCAAGTTCACCCTGAGAGACTGTAACAGCCTGCCAGGAGTCACCGGCACCTGCAAGGTACAGGGCAACATGCTCGTTATGTCAGAGTGTAATGGCCGCTGTATAAATTTGGGCGCAGTAGGGCATTTTAACAAAATTAGATAACAATTATTTCTAATAAAAACTTGAGTTATTTAACATGTTGTTTAACTTTTAAGCTAATTAGTCAGTGGACAGACTGCACTTTATTATATATTAAAGCCGCTGGATATTCAAGCATCAACCCTCCCCCCTTCGACTCATTATCATATTAAGAAAAAAGATGTGCTCTGATAATGATAAATAGATGCTTCAGTCTCACTTTTCTCTTTCTTTTTTGTCTTGTAGGAGACATTTAATTTGTACTACCACGAGTCAAATGAAGACAGAGACAGCTACATCAAAGAGAGCAACTTCATTAAAGTGGACACTGTGGCAGCAGATGAGAGCTTCACACAGGTAACAATAGACAACTGAGCCAGGCTTGTTTCTTCCACCCCCACTCACTTTCATTTGCTCTTATCTTGAAAATAAACCTCCCTGCCACTTAGCTGTAATTCCAATATGTTTTACAAGCTCCTTTATCTTGGATGGTAATTTTGCTATCCCAAAAATGTTGGCAGGGTGCTTATGCTTAGCTCTAACTAAACTTACCTCAGAGTTTACCATTATAGGCATTAAAGCTTAATTTACCTTGTAATGCATAGAGGTCTATCTGGATGAGAGGCAAATGCTGAAAATGTAAAGGTCAGCCATGGTTCAACATCAACTCCAGTAACAAGCAGATGAAATTAATAAGGGCTGACACAGTTTGCTGCACATTTTTATTAATAAAATTCCTTCCTCTTTCCATCCAGGTGGACGTCGGAGACCGCATCATGAAACTGAACACTGAGGTGCGAGACGTGAAGGTCACGACCCGGAAGGGTTTCTACCTGGCCTTTCAGGACGTTGGCGCATGCATCGCATTGGTTTCCGTCAGGGTTTTTTACAAAACCTGCCCGCTCACCATCCGTAATCTGGCAACCTTTCCCGACACCATTACCGGGGCTGACATGTCCTCCTTGGTGGAGGTCAGGGGGTCTTGTGTCAACCAATCAGAAGAGAGAGAGGAACCTAAAATGTACTGTGGCGCTGATGGAGAGTGGTTGGTTCCTATTGGTGGATGTCTCTGCAACCCAGGATATGAAGAGAAGGGGGGTGCATGTAAAGGTAAGTGGTCATGGATGAAAGAGCAACTTTACAGTGATTTATTGTTTGTTTTTACCATGGGCTGACTCGTCCATTTTGGGCTCCTGTCTCCACTCCCCTTGTGTCGCCACTTCAAAGTCCCATGTCTCATATGAGTAACAATTATTAGCACCCGACTAACAAGCTGCACGCTAATGATGGAAAACATTGACAGGGATTTGGTTTGTGTAGTAATTAACACCTGCTTGATCATTCTGTGGATTGTTTTAATTATTTTCAAGGATCATGTTAAGAAATTCTGTCTAAAAGGGACACTCACATCTTTGCCAGCTGGTAACGGCAGAGTGTAACTATGGTTTGTGTTCTACAACACCACAACAAAATAATCAGTGTGGGTGTTTATTCCACCTGTTGCAGAATCACAATCAATTGTATCAAATGTAATTTGGAAACAGATTGACAACACAAGACTGTCACAAATTGCTAAAGGCAAAAAAATGTGATTTTGAATAGTTAAACCTATTTGAAGGGAATCAGCATTTGGATTTTTGATGCCAGCTATAGTCTTTTGACAATAGCAAATACTCAGACACCTAAAATAAGTAGTTCAACATATTATTTGTCTTGCCAAGAGTTAGATGAGAAGATTTCTGCCACTCTTATGTCCATTAATAAAGAGGCTGCAGTCAGGAGAGTGTTAGATTAGTTTAGCACAGAGACTGAAAAGAAGGGAAAACATCTGGCACAACTCTGTTCAAAGGTAACTAAATCCACCTACCTGCACCTTTAAAACTCACTAATTAGCACATCACATCTTATGGACGCTCCTCTGGTTGCCTGGCAACCTCATGCTGAGAAAGTTACTGCACATTGTCAGGAAATAATTCAACACACACCGTTAAACCACACTGTGTCATTTTTACACTTGATTTTAGTATGGAATGTGTTAATTAGTGAGCTTTAGGGTACTGGTAGGTGGATTTTGTTAGAGCTGGGATAGCTGTTTCCCCTGATTCAAGTCTTTCTGCTAAGCTGAAGTAACACTCCTGACTGCAGCCTCATTTTTAACTGAGTCATAACAATGGTGTGGACAATATTTACTTCCAACTCTACTGCAAGAAAACACATAAATGTTGAACTATTATTCAAAAATATTCAACCGTACTGGCTGTAGGAGACAGCAGTTGTTACATTTTTTGTATTTTCAGCTTCTTTTCAAAAGTAACCTCAAGTAATTGACAGTAGTCACTCTATATAACTGTGTTTGAGTACTCCATCATGTCACGTGTCCTCTAAATATTCAAGATCCTTCATCTATTTAGTGTATTTGTTGGCTTCTAATAAATCCAATCTGTAAACAGGGTTTTAAGTCTTGTGCTAATATCTTTTTTAGTGCTCAGGTCTCAGTGTGAGGTGTGCTGACATAACATTAGCCATCTGGGCAAAAAAACATTTCTATCACTTACAAATCTGGTCTGAACTTTATGGTAACAAATATGCAAGCTGTTCACACCTCTCACCGACATACAGTACATGTGGCGTGCATGACGTGTAATGTTTGCAAGTGACTGTTGTGATAGTGAAGACAACTAAATGTGCGCGTTTGTGTGAGAAAGCAGGGGTAAATGGGGACAACAGACTCGATCAGAGACACTTTTACAGCGTGGCTTCACTTCTCCTTTTTAGTCACATACACAACGAACACACAACACATTCACTCATACACATACGCAGATGGACAGAGACCAGTAGCAAGACAAGGGACAGCAGCTCCCTGATTTGCTTCCTCCGTTTTATTTATGAAGCTCTCCCAAGAGGCTAATTGTATAACAAACAGACCCATAATTCAAAGAGAAAAGAATAGACGCTGTGCGGCAAAAAGGCTGAGAGATGGGCATAAAGAGAGGGATGCATTTGGTGCCAGTTGGCGATAAAGGGAGGAAAAAACGTGCCTTTTTTCTTTGCAATATAAAAAAGCAGTGGCCAAAATTTGCTACGTGATAAATGTTCTGAAAAACCTTCACCCCACTTGCCCTGTTTGTTCCTTCTGAAAAGAGGAGGAGGTTTGCGGGGTGGTCCCTGAAGCCTGAAAGATGTTTCTCCTCAACTAGATTTAGGAGAGACCCTTGACTCTGTTGAACCTCCAGCAGATGTGAAGTGCCATCTATCTAGCTGCTGCTCTCTTCTCCGTCTTTCCGCTCTCACTGCCTGTCAGGCCCTTGGCTGGGCTCAGCTGCCTCAGTGGAAATCCATCAAAGTCTGAATGAATACTGAACGCTGCTCAGCGAAAACTCTGACCCTGCAGTGCTGGATAGGTGCCTCAACGCTTCTCCCATTATAAGTTTGAAATTTGCAGAGAGAAAGAGAGAGGAGGGCATGGAGGGAAAAGGCAGGTAAATCTGAGAGGAGATTTAGATGATCTGTCGCTCTTTACTTCACCAAGGTCAAATGTTTTCCTCTGGAGCTTCTAAACTCATGCTATTAGTCATTATAACAGACTTGTGCAGACAGATAGAATGAGTGAACAAAGCTTGGACAGAGGCCGTGTGCATTCTGAACAATAAAACAGACAAAAAATAGAGCCATCTCCCCTCACTTTACTGGCCAGATATGGTGCAACACTTTGGAAAATATAAGCTCATTCTATTTCATGCAGAGAGGTAGATGGAAAGAGGTGAGGAGGTCACTATTCCAAGCCAAGAAATAGTCCTGCACTTACTACTGCAACTCATTGTCACTCTTTGCTTTTTACATGGTCTGAACAAACAAGATGCAACATGTTTATTAGCGAGTTTTTGAAGCACTGGTGGGAGTTTGTCACATTTGAACAGAGCCAGGCTCGCTGCTTTCGTAATTAATCTAACCGTCTCTGTAACACAATCCAGAAGACCAAAGGCAGGATGCAAACACCCAAGGCAAGGTTTACTGTGTGCGTAGACACAAACGAAAAACAACACAGAAGAATGAAAACAACAAGTTTACTAGCCCACAGAAGGCAACTAAGATCTGACATAAACACTGGCTGGCACACTGAAATCAAAACAACTGGCCCAAACCAGCAAGGGTTATCAATAACAATTTCTTAAACCAACCACAGGTGAGAGTCGCTGTGATTAATACTCCAGGCTGGGTGAACGGATGTGTAGGAGGGTCTGGCCTGGATCAGGTGGACGGGGTGGAGTCAAAGTGCCAGTGGATGAAACACCGTAAAACTGTGTAATAGAAGATAAAATCATTAAAAGTGCTAAAGGTATAGTTGGCGATCCTGGAAAAACCAGCAGCCGACCTAACTAATCCCACCCTTTCATTCTGACGTCTTTCCAAAGCCACTCCTCCAAACCAGTGCACACTACAATATGCACTGCCTGACTACTGGTGATTTCAGCAGAAATATGGCCACTATGGTGTCACTTTTCAACCCCTTTTGTTCTCCCAGTTCTTGCCACAGCAATGGTAATTATGGTTTTACTTCTTGCAGCATCCAACTTCTTTTTAGTTGTAACTTACTTGAATACGGCCTTCAGCTGCAACTGAAAGCTGCTGTGGGTACTTCCTCTGCCATAACTCACTAGCTCTAATTATAAAAACAGAGCGGTAACACATCTGCCTGCCTGGCCTTGTCGGAGACTCTTGGTTTGCACAACAGGTGCAAGGGCAGGGTGCGCACAAGTAGGAAGTAGGCTGACAGACAGGTAGGCCATCTTGTGGTTTTGCTTGGGATGAGTAAAATTATTGGTCTGGCACTTCTCAGCCCTGCTGCTGCCACAGATGACAGATTTTTAAATTTATGTTGTGGATTTTATGTGTCCATTGCCATTGGGATGAAAAGTGATTTTTAAGAAATGTAGCAAAAATGCTTCTGAAATGAACCAACACTACCTTTAATTCATCCTTGTGTGTTGTGCAAAACCTTGTCACAGTCTGTTATAAATGTCCACCTGTCATATATTGTACAGTAAATCTCCTTAATGAGATAGATTGCCATTTAGAGATCATTTTGACATTTAATTATTTAACATTTAGCAGTCCAGGTGCAAAAACCAGTTTGCCTTAGCAGAAATACATTTGCATATTTAATGTATTTTAATGTCCCCAAAACTCCTTTTGAATTGAACTGAAACAAGAGTCGACTTAACTTATGTGGTGAAATGCAAAATGTTCAGTTTCATTTTCAGAGAAGCTCTGGTGGGGAAGAAGGGATTAGGTGTTGAATGGGAAAGCAAGGAGGATTGAAAGGCCACTGACAGCAGAAGGCGTCAATGCAGAGCCGCCCCCTCCCACTCCCCCGCTGGGGATTCCTTACTGGGTGCAAAGCATACGAGTAGAGAAACACAAGAGGGAGGGAACTCCCGCTCTTTTCTAAACCCCTGGTTAAGACCGAGGTCATGACTCAGCCTGATGAAGACGTCAAAAGCTCTGACTGACAGCGACACACACACGCACACGTAAATAGAGAGAGTTTAGCTGCAAAGTGCAGGGTCATGACCGAGGTAGATGAAGACGTCAAAAGTTTGACAGCTGTGATCCGTCTGAGAGGATCGGAAATGAGGGAGGAGAGGCAAGAGGGGAGTGGAGGAGAAACAATAGAGGGAATCTGAAATGTGAACGGCTGGAGAGGCCGAATGAAAGAGGAGCCTTCTGCTTTTTGTTTCACTGTCTCTCCGCTGGCCTCCTTTTTCTCTCATCTGATTCTGCTCAATTCTGCTCACTGCCTGGGAGGGTTGGAATGTTTCTGCATGTGTGTCTGCAAGTGTGTGTGTGTGTGTTTCTGTGTTCCCACCATCCAGAGAGATTTCATGGTTGTGCTTCTCTCTAACGCACCTGCAGTGTCTTGTCAACAGCAGAAAGCACGGGATGAAAAGAAAGAGAAGAGAGAGGCAGAGGGAAAGACAGACACACCGAGACAGAGATGACAGAAAGAAACTGGGAGCAGATGATAGAAAGAGAGCATAATCGCTGTATTCAGTCCCTCTAATTATTGCATTGCGTTTCGGGGGTCTGGACATGTTGGATTGCTGATT